CCCCAAAACCCCAAAACCCCATAAGCCTAAATAAAGTGGATTAAAGTAAGTTCGAATAAAAATTTATTTTAAACATTAATTTTATATAGCAATTCTCATCTAATTCTTAATATATATTTACTACTAGCTTTGGAGTATTTCATTGAGACTATTAATATTTTTGTATTATCTCAATATCATCATCTAATTCTTCAATAATAAGCTCATCATTCTCCAATTAAATATCTTTTCCATCTTCCTAATAAAAAATAGGAGATTATTAATCATATTATCTCATAGTTATTTAACTATCATAGTTCCACGAATCAGAAGAATCTGAAATTTTGATTTCTTCCTCAAAACCATCCATTTATTTAAATTCTAATAATTGACTATTAGGTTCATGCAATTAAGTAGGATTAGATTTTCTCAAAGAATTTCCTCGGTTTTTAAGTTAAATTTATGTTAAGGAAAGCTATTTAATCGGAATAGACTTCATGAGCATCAAATTTTATCTTCTTTTTCGAAATTTCTAAGATCTATTAAAATTTCTTTTTCTTTTTTTTATATATAGTGATTAGTCTTATTTATTTGGCTATTCAAAATCAACTATTTTAATTTCTTCATCAACTCTAAAATCACTTTGGTATTCATTAGAGAAACTTACAATGCTTCTCCTAAAATCTGGCATGGCTAGTTATTTGTTGAATTAGTTTAATCCATCAAGTTTCATACTGCTAAATTATTTCACCCCATTAAATGCTTCTTAATCATCCTAAAATTTCACTTTCCTTTATTTTATTTCTGAATCTTGCGAAATCTCATTATTTGCAATTATACTATTCCCAAATTCAAAGTTTAAGATATTATCATCATTATCTTCAGGACTTATTATGTTAATTTAATTAAAAAATCTCTAGTTAGCTTCCTTCTAAAATTAAATACTCTCATTTTAACAAATTTATTAACTATTAAAGGCTCTCCTTTTTAAAAGCCTTTTATTTTTTAAATATTATTCTACTGTATTTTAATTTAATGAATTTATGGAACTCGTATTTTTAGAAAGAGTTTAAATATGATCTTAAATGCTCAAAGATTATCTCATTTAATTTGAACTTTTTTTTCGCTTCATTCTTTTTTCATTTAAATCAATTTTTTATGCATTATGTTATTTGATAGTTATCAATCCATTTTAATTTCTCACAATATCTAATATCTTCTCTTTGTTCAAGTAGAGATGAAGTTTTTCTAATATATTTTTATTCAATATAATTTCACCATCTGCATATAGTTATTTTACAACTTTCAATGAATTCATCAAATTTTCTCTTAAAATCTAGTTCTCTTCAATAATCTACATCTATTTTTTATCTTTTTCAAATCTTTTCTTGTTATTACATTTGAAAAGTATTAAATAGAGTTTCCCAAATTTGAGAACAAGCATTGAGTTTATTTCTTGAATGAGTTCATATGTCCAGTATCCAAAAAATATCATATTGTTTATCAATATTAAAAAGAAAAGAGCAAGCTCTAAACTTTACGTTAGTTAGACTATTAAATAATTTAGACAAAAATATTACTTTCATTATGATTTGAGGAGGAAGATTGTAGTAAATCATCACTAGAAGATACAGTTTTAACTTTTAGTATAAAGAAGAAGCCACAGTAGACTGTTATAGTCGAAGTTATCAATGAAATAGTTTCTAAGTTGTTTAAAACAACAGTTTGAAATGGTCTTCTTGTTATGGTAAATATCAAAAACCCAACTAGTATTACAAATATTATCAAAGCCTAGGAATTAATATTAGAAACTATTAAAGTAATCTTACTTGAGTAATAATTCCATGGCTAACAACAAATACAGAAATGAAAATCAAGATAATCTTTCTGTACATAATCACGATCTCCCAATAATAAAACTTTCTCTTATATCCTCTAAATAGAAACCCGTATTGAGCTCTAGTTTCAATCAAATCTAAATTCTTTCGCTTTATAAACATTAGTAGAAAAGCAAAAAAGGGAATACCCATCCCCCAAACCAAAAGCCCTGGCAAAGCAATTAATAAGGAAAAAATTTGATGTTAACTAGAGCTGCACTCAATTTATAAATCCTCTTTATTTCTACTTTCTCCATCAATATCAATGCAACTATAAAAATGATACTGAATAAACTCATTGAAATCTTAATTCTTACTCAAAAGCCTTAAAGAAAAATGCCACGATTGTTGGGTGTATTAAAAAAAGCAATATAACTGTTGATGAAACAGCTTTAGTCTTTAATACATTAACTTTTCTTGATTTAAATAAAATTATAATCCAAAAGCAATAAGATAACCCAGATAAGCATAATGGGAGGAAGGCATAAATAATTAATCTAAAGTATAATAAACTAGAAAAAACTCCTTCAGTTTTATCACTGTTTATTTAGCTACTATTAGTTTCATTATTTTCTGTTTTCAAATAAAGTTCCCTCTCTATAAAACAATCAATTGAGAAAACTTGAGTCTACGCTTGAGCAATAGGAGTACTAGTTGAGAAAAATTTTAATATTACATCTGGCCAGTTGAAATTGAATTGAGATGTCATTGCAATTAGTTGTAGATGATTCATAAAGATTTTTTAGTAAATAGACATCACATTTTTCTTCTCTTTAGCACCATTTAGTGTTGACTTGATTAGTAACACGACAATTATTACAGCTGCAAATGAGACACCAACTAATCTTAGAATATTTTGAGTCTGATCTGGGCATTTCGAGCATTAAAATTCTCCTACTCTTGAATAATCTTAGATACATCTTGAACATAAAATCCCTGCATATCCTTTTTCACAAATTCCAATGGGTGAAAAATCTGGTGGAATTATTCCTCTACATAATATAAATCTGAGTATCTTACAAGCAAGCTTAAGCATTTAGACATTTTATGAAATTTGATGTTTAATTATTTTTTCTCCAATATCCTGGCTTTGGTCCAATAAATGATCCTCCATAGCAATAAGCGGCATTGGTAGGACAAGAATGACATTATCCAGGTAAATTTTATTTTATTAGAGAGAAGGATATATCAGGCGGACACAGTTCACAAGAACCTCTATCGAGAAGTCTTTCTCCAATCTCACACTCTCTTAACTATATCGATATTTTGAAAAACTATAAGTTGGAGTTTTCTAATTGAAACTACTTATTTGATGGCTTATTGTTATCTATCCCTTCTGTAGAGAATTATAGCTCGTAAGAGTATCCTGGTGTCCCTGTAAATTGCAAATCAGAAATTTTATAAACCCCATTTATTGAATAAAACTCTGCAGTGCCCTCAATAATTGGCTAATATTATTGACTTGCATCATGAGTTTAAGAAAACGAATTTACACTGACCTATAACTTTGAGCCATTTGCTGTCGTGACAATTTATCCGTACTTGTCAAAAAGAGCCAAGTACAAATTTTGAACTTTATCTCCGCTTCTAAATCCATTCAAATTTGATGAAAGTTAGGGCTATAGAATTTCATTAGAGTTAAGTGCTCTTTTATCTGTTCCAATACTTTACTAATATGTCTCTTCTGAAATTTATTTTAGCTACTAGGCATAACAAGCAACATTATCTCCGTATATTTATGCCTTGTTATTAACGAAATTGGTCTTATTCTCTTAAAATCTAATTTCTTTTGTATCCCAGTAAAGTGCTCCTCCATTTTCCATCGCTTTATTATTAATAAACCAATTTATTCCCTCTAAAATTACATCACAATCTGATGTTAGACTGGAACATTAAAATTAGATAGCCCCTCCTGAAGTTTGACTACTACAATTATTGAAATAAGAATCCTTGATTGTTAATTTCTTGACATTCACAATAGACAAGCAACCACCTTATTATTATGAATAAGTATTTTCGAATCGACTATTTATAATCTATATATTAATATTGTGGTTATAATATGTTACAAAAAAGTTTTGCCCATCAAATTTATCTATATCATCTTGAGAAAGATAAATTGCACCACCTTAAAATGCATTTGAATTTTTAATTATTGAGTCATTTAAATGAAACTTTTCACAAAAAATGCATGATATTCCACCCCCTTATAGTGCTTCTTATACTTTCAAGTTGGAATCTAGTTAAACATTAATTTTAGCAATTATACGAATTATATTCAAATTTCTAGCATAGAAATTGACAGATTTCATTTCAATAGAATTAGAGGCATCAGAATTCTGTACAATCATTCCATCAATAGTTAGCTAAATCAAAATTAATTAGTAAGCTTTACATTATTGAATGATTAGTCAGCATATATTTCATCGCCTGAGACTTAAGAATGATTTTCTATAAATTGAGATTTTTTACTTATTTTCAAAGTATTAAATTATTATGCGTAAATTGCTGCTCCTTAATAGGCTTTGTTGCCTCTAAATGTACAATCTTCAATACTAACATTTGATTCTAATTTTTTATACTTGAAGTATAAATTACATACACCCATTAATAGTTATTGCTCCTCCTATTAATGCTTTTCCATTCAAAAAGCTTGATGATACTATCTTTAAATCTACTCCGATTAAAATGTACAAAAATGAGTCTGATTTGCTAAATTATGAGTCGTAGTCTTTGGAATTCTCTATACTTTAAAAATATAAACAGTTTAAAAAAATTACGGATCTGTGTTCTCAAATATACTGGATTGAATAATAATATTTGAAAATGCTGCAAATATGCTTCTTCCTTAATACTCAATTTGATTATCAATGAATTAGCAATTAATAAATTCAACTTTTTACCCGTATATAATCTGAATCATCGAAGATTAAGCCTTGTTTCTGACAAATCTTATATTCTTTAAAACAAATGTATTGATCTAAAAATAGTGTTAAACTTGAAAAATAGCAATAATATTTTACATCACTGGAGCCAAATATACTAATAGTAGACACTTGATATTCAGAAGTATTTTCAATAAAATCTGAATTCTCAATTTATAAAGTCGACTTTGTCCCTACTTTAATTGCCCCAATATTATCAATTGCATGATTATTTTTGAAGATAGTGTTTTAAATTATGATAGTAGAATCTGCATCTAATGATATCCCAGCACATTCATTAGCTAAATTATTATTTATCCTTATGCCTGCCAAATTTGCATACGACTAATAAAGATTCATAACAGTATTATACACTGCAGAATTGTCTATAATAATTAAGTCTTTAAATTCTTTTTACTAAAGTAATGAGAGTCTTTATCAATGAAAATCACAACCATATGCAGTTCTATAACAGATCCATGATGACACTAAGTTATAGTGTTATTTTTGAAAGCAATAAGTTAAGTCTCTTTAAAAAATAAAGTAGGTAAATGGTTCATTTCTTATAACAATTCCTCATATATTTGTCCTTTTTAGCATTCAATCACTGTATTTTCTATTGATATTAATGAAACTTTCTCTGATGTTGAATAAATTACTGGAAATTACCCATCCTCGGATCACTAATTATAGAAGTAGGAATTCTTGATTACCAACTTTTTAACATCGATTACATTTAAAAGTGAGCCATAATGGCTATACGTATTGCTCACAGTTATGTTTTGTAAAATGAAATCAACTTATTAATTTTAAAGACTAGCAAATCCCCCAAAATAAAAAGCTCTCATGTCTTTAAACTCAGAATCTCTTACTATTAATTGCTTTTCTGACATGTCGGTATTTTCTGTGCCTGTTAAACTTAAAAATCCACCTTAGATACTTTACATTTCAATAGCAGTCATGTTTTTAATTTCGCCTTGACAGTTATTGACTAATGACATGAAGGCTCCGCTTTAGGCAATAGATCTACGGCTTATACAGCTCTCTAAATATATTTTTACAGAGTCACCTTAAATAACTCCCCCAAATAATGCTACATTATTTTCAAATAAGGAGCCAGTATCATTATAGGTACTTTCTGATAGAGAAAAAACTCCACCTTTAAATGAAACATAATTATTCAAGTATCTATTTTCTCTTGCTGTTACGAAGGCATATTTCAAATAAAATATACCTTAGAAATCATAAATGGTAGTCTGAACTTGAGATGTGTTTAAGTTTATGTAATTCAGAATATTTGATTCATCATAACCATCTTAATTAAACTGCACTAGACTATTAAATATTGTTAAATTTAGGTTAAAAGCCTCAGAGTACATAACTTAGAAGTATCTTTAACTTATTTATTAGTTTGATGAGTCTGAAGTAAAATTAGAATAGTCTATGTAGATTTAATTAGCATTTTCTATCTAAAATATAACAGCTTGCTTAGGATTTTCTTGTAAGAGGAAATTATTATGAAATACAGAGTCATTTACAGTAAGATTGGTATTCTTATAAACCAAGTAAAATAATCCTCCTAGCAAGTTAGCTTCATTCTAATAGAATTTGTTTGATGTAATCATATAAAAATTTGATACTAATAATTCCTTGTTATTCTCGTACAAAAATGCACCTGCATTGTCATGGAAGATAGAATTTTAAACATTAATTTGGCTTTGACCATTGATATAAATAATTGTTCCATATTGGCTTTTTATATTCTTACAGGTGATATTGTCGATTTCTAATATGCACTAGTTACAATAGATAATGCCTCCACTATTGGCTTATATATTGTCAAACTTTGAATCATCTATTATCAATTTAGCATTATTATTTAAGTAGTAAATTCCACCTTACGATGCAGTATAACAATCCTTATATGTAGTATTTCTTTACTAAATTATAGAACCTTCTTTTAATGAGTCTAAATATAGCAGTGTAGTAGATATATCCAGGAAATTATCAAAAATATTTTCCTAGCATTATGCTTAAGTATTATTGAATTTTATATTATAATTATCTGACTGTATGTATAGGATTCCTCCAATTGTTTTAGCATTTAACTCATTGTATACCACATCTTAAATATCAATTTCTACTTTTTGACTTTAGATATTGAATAACCCTCCTGCCTAATATTTTGAGATGACTTAGTTAAAATCACAATTTCTGATTGTTAAATCTAGTTCTTTCACATTAAGTGAGGCAAGACCTCCACCAGCAATTTTTTTATTTGTATTTTCATATTCTTATTCCATTAATGATGAAGTGATAGAGGAGTATGTTGTATTCTCCATTATCAGATTAAGTTTGATTGCATCTCCAGTAACATAAAGAAATCCACCATCAGAAAATGATGAGGAACTGATAATTTTGAAGTAACTCAAATCAAGAAAAATTTATTATGTAATTTAACTTTCAGTCAGCTCTGAATAGCTAAGATAAATAGATCCTCCTCTATAGGCATTATTATTGACAAAAGTAGGTTAAATAAAACTAAGCTCTAAGCAATTTTCACAAAAAATATTCCCCCCAAAATATGCTTAATTGTTTTCATAAATACTATTCTCTTCACTAAACGATGCCTTTTTAGATAATATTCTGAAAATTGATCCTTGATAATTGTTAATGCAATATTTGAATCTATTATTAATGGATTAAACAGTTGTAACCATGGATTAATCCCAGATAAGAAATGCAGCGCCAGTACCTAGGGTATAAATTCGAGATTTATATAAGTCACTCTTAACAAAACCTTTGAAATCAAAATTATCTGGATTTAATGTTGAATTACAAATTACAGTTGTATTTTTAACTATTAAGATTGATCCTGTTTAGGAACCTAAATAGACAGCAGATCCATAACTGTCTTGATTAGTGTCATACATAAAAGAGTCCTAAATTGTGACTGTATGAATTGGCCTGTCTGTTTCACTAAAAGCATATAAAATTCCGCCTAATTGATATTTTTCTTAATTCGAAACTTAAACTTGCTTAAATGTACATTCCTTAATTGTCAGATTACTCTATGGAAAGTTATAAATCTAAAATGCACCCCCTATTTCTAGAGCAATTGAATTTATCACTGTTACATTAATGATTTCAAAATTAATTGCTAGCCCGCCATCATAGGATAATA